TTAAATCTCAAGCAGATGGATCCTAGGATGGAGAGTGCTTGGAGGAGTAACCTGAACTGACTGACCAGTAGTTCTGCTGTTGAGATGGCCCAAGCTACCCTTATTTCTGACTGCTGTATGATCTAAGGTTCAACTTTTCTTTAGTATTTGTGAACTGCCCTGTGTCCTTCCAAAAATGTAATTTTTATTGTTCAAAGTAGCTAGAGTCAGAGTCTGTTGTTTGCAACCAAAGAATTTTAATCAATACAGATCCTTACTTACATGAAATCATAACTGCCCAAGGGTAGGGTGGTGGTCACTGGGATGACGAAGCCCTTTCTGTTTGAGTCCTAAGACTGTCCACTGAGTGTTGGAATGAAACTGTTCATTTGTGGTCACTTGAACCTGGACTGGCAGCTTTTCCTGTGCTCTGCCCTCCTGGTTACTTTGACCTTGGGTTGGCCTTCTTTGGACATTTCATTGCTAGGCCACTGTTCTGCTGCCAGTCTACCATCTGCTTTGGCACCAAAAACTTAATGTTTCCTGTGTTGCTAGTAGTTTCTTCAGAAGTCTCCTGGCTCTTCTAGAAATTCTCTGGCATGTTTACATAGGGCTTCCATTATCCTTTCCTGGGGATTCACCGTTTCAGCAATTTCTCCCTCCCAGATGCATAGCCCCCAGGGAATAGAGCGGTGGTAAAGGCGTGAGTCTGGGATTGGAATAGACCTCAGCTAGTATCTCCCCTCCACTATTTATGAATAACTTGGGACCAATAACTAAATCACCTTGAGACTGCCTTATACAAAAATAAATACCACATGGCTGCAGAACTTCAGACTGCTATCCATATATCGATATTCAGGTATATCGAAGACAAATGTTTCTGGGCAAAAGAGAGTGGAGAACTCAGTGCAAAACCATTCGTCTCTGAGAAAAATGACTTTGCCTGGAGTCTACAGATTATAAATTTACTGGTGTTATCTTCACATATGAGATGTCATGAATAAGGAAGTACAGAGAAGTTTAGTCACTTGACCACAGATATACAGCTAATAAGTTACAAAACCATATCTGAAATTCAGCCCTGCTAATTCCCAATGCAATCTCTGAAAAGCACTATCCATGCTAAAAGTTGCCTTGGATAATATGTCTACATGGCTTTTTTGATGCATTAATTCTAGTGCCAAGTTCTGTCGCTGGGGAGATGACAGCAAAGGGCCACATGCACAGGGAGAGTGAGGTTTTCCCAGGTAAGGAATAGGATGAGTCTCTGTTTGGTTTAGTTTATTAAACCAGGAACACATCGGCTTTCCATAACTCATAGCCCAAGACTGCCAGTGTCTGAGCCTCTCTCTGTAACATGTGTACTTGAGGATACTTGTGTTGCAGGCTGCCAGAGGCCAAAGAGCAAATTCATCTTCCATAGGCTGAAGCTCCCCACTGGAAGTTGGCCTATAACCTTCCCATACACATATTTAAACCCTTTCTAGTGATTTTTCAGAGCAATTCTCATGTTAAGGCTTTCAAATCCAGCCAGCAGAGATAGTTCATATGGATGGCCTATGTTTGATAAGGGAACGGAGACCAGCCAGGATGATATGGGCACCCTAACCCTGCACACTTATTCAGCCAAGAGGTTTGTATAGCCCCACTGGGCTGGCTGAGCTGCTCTGCCAGTTTCTTATCACTTACCAGTCTGGGCAGGCTTCCCGGGCAGGGGGAGAACTGCTGAGTTACATCAGACATAAATGAATCAATACAAACTAATTCCTTCACAAAAGAAAACCTAATTAGTCACAGTGCTACAGGAATCAACGGCTTCTCCCTCCTAGCGGTTAACACATTCCAATTCGTATACACAACTGCATTCTGACTCCGTTAATAGAAAAACACATATCCATTTTGTTATTGCCATACGTTTAAGCCTTGACAAGTTTATTTTCTAAAACAACCAATAACGGGAACTTCGTTGTGATGTTAGAAGGGTTTTCACAGTTTAGAGATAAGTCTAGCTCTATGTTAGGAAATGGAGGACTTCACAGAAGGTGATGATCTAATCAAAGGTGGATTCTTGCTTGGCTACCTTTGCAAGAGGGACATGCAGAATTAGGGGATGAAAATGAGGGTGTGACTCTATGGCACCTCCTGGAAGATGTTGCTACCCAACCTAAGCCTGAGGAACAAGCACTGCCCATATGCCTCTCCTACTCACAGACACTTTCTATTACTGACATCTATAAAGATGTCAAAGGCCACCTGTTAAGAGAAACTCTTTTTTTCATTCATTCATCATTCATCACTCCTCCTGACAATTAAAGAGACTTTTTTTTTTAAATGGAGTCTTGCTCTGTTGCCCAGGCTGGAGTACAGTGGCATAATCTCAGCTCACTGCAACCTCTGCCTCCCAGGTTCAAGCAATTCTGCTGCTTCAGCCTCCCAAGTAGCTTGGATTATAGGTACCCACCACCATGCCCAGCTAATTTTTGTATTTTTAGTAGAGACGGGGTTTCACCATGTTGGCCAGGCTGGTCTCGAACCCCTGATCTGTCCACCTCTGCCTCCCAAAGTGCTGGGATTACAGTTGTGAGCCATTGTACCTGGCCAAGACTGAGTTCAAATCCTGGGGCTCTTACACTCACCAAATGTATGACCTTGGACAGGTAGTTTACGTTGTCAACCTGCACTTTCCTCATCTGAAAAAAATGTGGTTTATATCGTATTTCTTGAATCTGGAGTGCCACCATTACTTTATGTACAACTAACGAAGAAAAAAATATTGCCAATTAAATGACATTGATTGTAAAACTCACCAATATTAGAGATGTTAAAATGTTAAAATATTAGGATGTTATAATTGAGAAAACAGGATAGCATCTACCTCATGGTGCAAATGTGGATGAATTGAGATAATTCATATAAATGGATAGCATTTTGTCTGACATACAGGAAGTCCTGTATAAATGATTACTACTATTTTTACTACCAGAAGATGGTAGTTTGGGTAATTTCAGCAAATCATTTAACCCTCTGTGCCTTATTCTCTTCATTTTAAAAATAAATGGGTAGCCATATGGTCCTACCACTCAGAATTGGGAAGAAAAACTAATTAAAAAATGTTTTTAGGTCCTTAGCAGCTCTAAATGTGAAACACTATCAACTCTTTCTGCTATTCATCTTCAGTGTCTGGAAACTGATAAGGAAATGTGCTCTGTATATTTTTTATGTATGTATTAATTTACTTGAAATTCCAAGGCTAATTTAAACTTTTAACTTGAAGTATTTATATTTCTATTGTAATTGTTGAAAAAGAGCTTTTAGTTTTTGCTTTATCCTCTTCAATCTAACTCTGATTTTCCATAAAATTTTGTTTTATCCTGAGAGGAGAGAATTTACATTAATGTAGTTCTGTGTTGGGCAAGCCTAAAGAAATACCTTGATTGCAAAATTTTGCATTTCTGTGAAGTCCCATATTTTAGAAGATTGATAGTTGTATTAGTTTGATGAGAAAGAAAGATAAATTCCCAGTTATTGCAAATGATCACTAAACAGAGAGAGATTCATTTAAAGCAATTTCCAAATTGTAGTCACATAGAGTCCACTATTGGTTCCCACTTTGAGTAGGAAAGAACTAGATCAATAGGGTCAGTGGTTGTGCAAGAGAAGTTCAATTTAATTCAACTTTTAGTTGTTGAACCTTTAGTATGAAGCAGGCATGAGGTTAGGTTATAGAAATACAAAGAAATTTAAGAAAAAGTTGTTGCCAGAATTTATAGTCTGACACGAAATGGCAATACAATGGGATAACACTATAAAGTAACATGGGAGTCCTAAGGAGCAGCAACAAATTCTGCCTGCGTAAGCAAATGAAGACTTCAAACTTTGTATAGGTGTTTACAAAACAGAAAGTTTAGAAAAGAGGGTTGCCTGCAGAGAAAACAATATTTGCAAAATCTCCATGACAGCAGTGTAATTTACTGTGTGTGTGTGTGTGTGTGTGTGTGTCTGTGTGTGTGTGTGTGTGTGTTGGGTGATGTGTGATGGGTGGGTTGTGATGGTGTTGAGAGACTAGCAAAGAAGGTTGAGATAAGATTGTGAACAGCCTTAAGTAAGATTCTCCCTAACATATTAGGGAGTTTGGACTTTATCAATAGGTAGAAGGTACAAATGCAGGAGTGTTTTGTGGTAGGCTCAATAGGACCTAATAAACAATTGGCTCTAGGGTGGTACAGAGGAACTAGAAATGATTTCAGGTGTCCTGGATGATTGGGGGCTGGGAGTGGGAAGGAAAATTCACTTACACAGAACATAGGTGGAGAAGCCACAGCGAGAAAAGCACATGACTGAGACTTAGAAGACCTAGACTGAGCTTTCAGAAGCTGACCTTTGGAAATTATTAGATCAGGTTATTGTATTATATAACATGTTACACTTCTCTGTGCCTCATTCTCTCCATGTTTACAGCAGGAAGATGAAGAGGAAGCATATTAAGATGACTTAGGAGTCAGGCTCTTTGAGTTTAATTCCTAACTCCGTGATTTGGAGCAAGCTATAACACATAAATGGTTTCCTCATTGGAATAATGAAGAGTAATAATATCCATCTATAATTTTGCTATAAGTTATGCATCTTGGCACATAGTAAGCCCTCAATTAATATTTATTCTTATTTCATCTGTTTTAAAATTCTGCATTTCAAGATATATTCTATGATACTTTTGGCAAGAGGAATATTAAGATGTTTGTTCTTTAATTTGAAGCAGCATAGCATGGTGGTAGTACAGAACAGAAAATGGAACCAGGAGTATTTGAAATTTAGTCTGCATCTGCCACTTGTTAGCTGTCTGATCTTGGGCAGATTACTAACTTTTCTGAGCCTCACTTTCCTCATCTGTAAAATAAGAAGAATGATAGCACCAACTTCATGTGGTTATTGTGAGGATTAAATAAGGTAATACACGTAAGGTGCTTTGCCAAGTGCCTGGCACAGATTACCTGCTTATGTAAGTGTTATTATCATGGTCCAAGCAGCAGCTTCTCCGCTCCTTCTGGAATCTCTCCCTGGTTCAGCCCGCCTGCCTCCACTCCTGCCTCCACCATGTCCTTCAGGGTGACCCAGAAGTCCTACAGGGTGTCCACCTCTGGCCCCGGGGCCTTCAGCAGCCGCTCCTTCACGAGTGGGCCCAGTGCCCGCTCGAGCTCCTCGAGCTTCTCCCGAGTGAGCAGCACTGGCTTCCGCAGTGGCCTGGGTGCAGGCTATGCTGGGGCCAGTGGCATAGGCATGGGAGGCATCACTGCCGTCACCATCAACCAGAGCCTGCTGAACTCCATTAAGCTGGATGTGGACCCCAACATCCAGGGCGTGCGTACCCAGGAGAAGGAGCAGATCAAGACCCTCAACAACAAGTTTGCTTCCTTCATCGACAAGGTGCGGTTCCTGGAGCAGCAGAACAAGATGCTGGAGACCAAGTGGAGCCTCCTGCAGCAGCAGCAAACGGCTAGGAGCAACATGGACAACATGTTTGAGAGCTACATCAACAACCTGAGGTGGCAGCTGGAGACTGGGCCAGGAGAAGCTGAAGCTGGAGGCAGAGCTTGGCAACATGCAGGGGCTGGTGGAAGACTTCAAGAACAAGTATGAGGAAGAGATCAATAAGCGTACAGAGATGGAGAATGAATTTGTCCCCATCAAGAAGGATGTGGATGAAGCTTACATGAACAAGGTAGAGCTGGAGTCTCGCCTGGAAGGACTGACTGACGAGATCAACTTCCTCAGGCAGCTGTATGAAGAGGAGATCCGGGAGCTGCAGTCCCAGATCTCCGACACGTCTGTGGTGCTGTCCATGGACAACAGCCGCTCCCTGGACATGGATAGCATCATCGCTGAGGTCAAGGCACAGTACGAGGAGATCGCCAGTCGCAGCTGGGCTGAGGCAGAGAGCGTATACCAGATCAAGTATGAGGAGCTGCAGAAGCTGGCTGGGAAGCACGGGGATGACCTGCGGCTTACGAAGACTGAGATCTCTGAGATGAACCGGAACATCAGCCGGCTACAGGTTGAGATAGAGGGCCTCAAAGGCCAGAGGGCTTCCCTGGAGGCCGCCATTTTAGATGCTACAGGTTGAGATAGAGGGCCTCAAAGGCCAGAGGGCTTCCCTGGAGGCCGCCATTTAAGATGCTGAGCATCGTGGGGAGCAGGCACTCAAGGATGCTCGTGCCAAGCAGCAGCAGCTGGAGGAAGCCCTGCATTAGGCCAAGCAGGACATGGCACGGCAGCTGCGTGACTACTAGGAGCTGATGAACGTCAAACTGGCCCTGGACATCGAGATCGCAACCTACCACAAGCTACTGGAGGGCAAGGAGAGCCGGTTGGAGTCCGGGATGCAGAACATGAGTATCCACACGAAGACCACCAGCGGCTATGCTGGTGGTCTGAGCTCTGCCTATGGGGGCCTCACAAGCCCCGGCCTCAGCTATAGCCTGGGCTCCAGCTTTGGCTCTGGCACGGGCTTCACCTTCAGCCGCACCAGCTCCACCAAGGCTGTGGTTGTGAAGAAGATTGAGACCCGTGATGGGCGGCTGGTGTCTGAGTCCTCTGACGTCCTGCCCAAGTGAACAGCTGCAACAGCCCCACGCAGGCTTCCCTTCCTGAGGCTGTCCCAGAGCCCGGGAGGGAGGTTGCTGTGTAGGGGAGCACAGGGAACGGGAGACCCACCCAACGCTCAGCCCTAGCCCTCAGCCCAACCACGGGGAGTTTACTGCCTGGGGACCCCCCCTTGCCCATGCCTCCAGCTGCAAAACAATTCAGTTGGCTTTTTTTTTTTTTTTTTGGTCCAAAATAAAATCTCAGCTAGCTTGGAGGAAAAAAGAAAACAAAAAGTGTTATTATCATTATCAGTACCTTAATTTTAATTTTTAAATTATAAACGGTGAGTGGGATACTTCATGGCCCTCCTAGAAGTAGCTGCTTTTCCATATCAGTAACGTTGTTCAATGACAGAGCCATACCTGAAGAGAATCCTGTATTTAGTTGGGTTACACTTGATGTGTCCCACAGGCCAGTGAAGTTGTGGACCACCGCTAGCCTCTGAAATGGCACTTCTGAATTAAATGGGATGTCTTTTTCCCCCAGATTCTGTGTGGGAGGCTTATACATTTGGTTTGGTAATGAGTTTGCTTTTTGAGCCAAAGAAGAGAAGAGAATAAAAGAAGAGAGAAGGCGTGAGAGGCAATCATAGAAACCTGGAGGCTCACATTCTCCAAAATGAAAAAGAAGCCTGCATTTCTGCAGAAACAAGAGAGAAACAACTAACAATCTCAAAGCTCATTATGATTTAACTTTCAGATAGCACAAAATGACAGTAATGTGACTACTGAAGCCTGTTTTAACTGTAAGCAGGAGAAAGGAGTGGAAATGGAGTGTATTAGCAGCGGCATAAAGATAACCTTCTCCCTTACAGGCTGTGCATATATTAGTGCATGAATGTACTGTTAAAAGCCACTAAATCTCTCTAAAGTGGTCATTTCCCTTTCTTTGGCAAATGATTGGAAAATCTTTGTTGTGTACTTTCTTGAACCAAATTTCTGGAACCTTTTCAGGCATACTTTCTGTTTTAGAAGAATGTGAATTGATACTGATGGTTGCATCAGACAGGAAGGAGTGATGAATTCAAAGGGCATGTCACCTTACAAAGCCAAAAGAGTAAAGTAGGAGCTCATCCATTCTTCCCCCCCCCCGCCCCCGCCGAAAAGGAGCATTTTTTTGTGTGTCAGATTGTTGTGGAAGATTTAAAAATAGAAGAATCTGAGTGTCCTATTTTCCCATTGACTGATGGTGTCAGTTCCTTTGCATCTCTGTCAGTCTGCTATTACTATGATGATCACTATTATCATCTGTCTTTGACTTTTCCTGTCTAAGAAGTACAAATTATCCTTGGCATTATATTGTGAGACGAAAGTCTGAATGGAAGCACTAGATGTTGATATTTGTCTAGGTTAACTGCATAAGTTAGGAGCTTTGTAATTTGATCTTGGATATTAGAAGCCAGTGTCCATAATTATTTAACTTAATTCTTTCCAGGTACACAATCCTAAGAGAAGTTTTGAGAACATCAAGGGATCTCAGGAATTTTTTAAATTTCAAGCCAACTGAATTGGCTCGCTACAATGCACTTCAAAATGATATCGAGAGGCAACTGCACAATTGCAATGCAAAGCAGCAGGTCTGTCAGTGTCATCCAGTCAGCCACACTTGTTGAATTCAAATGAGGGCATCCAGCCCCTAGTATAGGACAATGCAAAAATAGGAAGAGACTCTTTTTTTTTAACCCTTAAGGTACTTACTCTATCCTTTTGAATCATGACTTTCTGTTGTTGATAAAGCAAAAGATGGTATGAATCAGATAACCAGGCATCATTACCCCTCCCAAGTCACTTAAATTCTTGTAGGTTAAAGCTTTTTCATTTTCCAAATGAGTGAGCTAGGAAAGATATTTTCTAATATCTCTTCCTGTTCTAAAAGAGCATGACTCAAGTGGATGCAAATTAACATGGTGTGAACAAGATGCTTTGTTCACACATTCAGCAACATTGAGGGCATCTTAGGAGCTAAGTACTTGAATGGGGCTGTGGATGTAAAAGACAGGAACACTTTGTCCTTCTTTCAGGAGGCTTGCAAAGTGAGAAGCAAGACTGACCAACTAGCAGTTACAATGCACTCTGCTCAGTGTGGGCCGACTAGAGCCAAGGCAATTCCGGGGGAGGGCAGGGCTAGCTCTGAGGTTGGCCAGGGTAGCCATCCAGGTTGTGGTGATGATATTTGCAGAAGGCCCCAAAACAGAAGAAAAAATTCATCAGGTAGAGAAGATGGGAGGATGCCCCTGGCAAAAGGAGGAACATTAACAAGGCTCAAGTGCAAGCAAACACCCTGTGCTTCAAAAATTAATTCAAACATGAATATATCAGTAGTGGAAAGTAATGGAGACAGAAAATTGTTTGAGACTCAATTGTGAAGAGCCTTGAATGTCATGCTAAGAGTTTTGACTTTTATCTATAAGGTACTGAAGAATCATGAAGAATAGAAGACATGATCAGATTCCTTTCAGAAAGTTCACTCAGGTGGCCCTGTGGAATCTGAATGGAGGGACCATGGAAGGGAGAGGAGGCTTATAGGATACTGTGTTGATGGTCCATGGGAGAAATGATAAGATTCTTATCCAGGGCCATGACAGTGAGTACAGGGAGAAAGGACACATTTGAGAGAAGGTCCAAAGACTGAATGCACAGAATCTACTTATTCATTTATACATCACTCAGCAAATCTTTATTCAGTGCCCACTATGCATCTGTCAGTGTAAACCTGGCACTACACAAAGAGAATATAAACACTGCTGAAATATTGAGGAGAGAATGGCCAGAGTGGGACCAGTGATGTGGTACTGGTTTGGGTGGGCTTCCTGGAGGAGGTGAGGACTGACTTGATTTTCCAAGGAAGGAGAAGAGATATGAATATGTAGAAGGAGGCAGGAGAACATTTATATGCTGCGACATAAAAAGAAAGGAATGAAGAGATGACCATCAGGTGTGCTTGATGAACAGAGAACCTTTAGTCAATGCTAAACATGATGGAGAGACAGGAGGATGAAAAGACTGAACAGAAACATCTAAATTTGATGTGCTAAGCCACAGTGAAGCACTGTGGGTTTTTTTAGAAAGAGAAGGATTGTGTGGTATGATAGAGAAGGCAATTGAATTAATGCTTGAAGACCTGGGTTATGGCATTATCTTGCTGGGTCAGCATTCAAGTTACTTAATGTCTTGAGAGCTCAGATTTGCATAGTTTGGATAGGAACAAAAAATGTATTGAGATGTATATTAGTCAGGGTTCTCCAGAAAGACAGAACCAATAGGATATATGGGAGAGGATTTATTAGGGGGAGTTAGCTCACACAATCATAAAGGCAGATAGGCCAACTGCAAACTGGAGAACTAGAGAAGCTGGTAGCATGTCTCAGTCCAAGTCTGAAGCCCCTGAACCAGGGAAGCCAAGAGTACATCCCCTAGTCAGGCCCGAGAGCCCCCAGAGGCCACTGCTGTAAGTTCCAGAGTCCAACAGCTGAAGAAGCTGGAGTTGGATGTCCAAAGGCAGCAAGAGAAAAAGCATCCTGCTTCCTAAGGAAGAGAAAGAGTAGAGAAAGCCAGTTCTCTTCTTATTTTGTTCTAGCTGGGTCCCCAGCCAATTGGATTGTGCCTGCCCATATCGAGGGCAGATCTTCCTCTTTCAGTTCACTAGAAACACTTTCACAGACACATCTAGAAACAGTGCTTCACCAGCCATGAAAGCATCCCTCAATCTGGTCAGGTTGACATCTCAAATTAATGATGGTTAAATATAGTATGCCCTTGTCAACTTGGCATCTATATGCATCTTGTTAAATTATAATTTCCAGTCAAAGACAATAACAAGATCATAATTCCACCTAAAATGATACAACTATCCTTTGCGCAATGAGGAACACACTAATAGCATCTCCAGAAGAGAAGGTAAAGTTCTTGAGTGATGTTTACTCTTCTCCTGGTATCCTATAACTTAGATACCATGATGAACAATAATACAATTATTTTGTTACATAAAAATTGAGCAGTACTTAAATACTGGTATAAAGTCAATAAGCCTGAAGTTACATGATAAAGGAACAAGAGAGGAAGGAAAACAAAGATATTTGCTTAATATATGTGTATATATACACAAATGTATTCTTAACAAGTGGGGAGGAAATATGATAATTATGGTTCCCATTTCTGTAACTGGGCAGGTGGTGATAGCTGGTATTTATAACTGCCATCTTATGCTATCCATTCTGCATTCCCTTTGCTTTCACCAAGCACTTCAGCTAGTCATGGTTCTTAACCTGGTTGGGTGACCCAAATGTTTCTTGCTGAAGGGTCTGGGCCATTCAGAGTCCTGCCTGGATTGGGTTGTTGGAGATTCCCAATTACTTAATCACAGTGTATGGTAATACTAAGCGGTCTCCTTTATTTCAGACATACTCTTTGATATGGTTTGGCTGTGTCCCCATCCAAATCTCATGTTAAATTATAATTCCCAATGTTGAGGGAGGGTCCTGGTGGGAGGTGATTGGATCATGGAGGCAGATTTCCCCCATGCTGTTCTCATGATAATAAGTGAGTTTCCAAAAGATCTTATGATTTAAAAATGTGTGGCACTTCCCCCCTTGTTCTCTGTCTCTCCTGCCACCATGAAGAAGGTGCTTGCTTCCCCTTTGCTTTCCACCATGATTGTAAGTTTCCTGAGGCCTTCCAGTCATTCTTTCCTGTTAAGCCTGCAGAACTGTGAGTCAATTAAACCTCTTTTCATAAATTACCAAGTCTCAAGTAGTTTTTTTAGCAGTGTGGAAATGGACTAATACATTCTTCCTCACCTCCACTGTGAGGTAGTAGTCCCATTTCCTCTTAGTAGTCCAGGTAAATTGTACCAATCAACACCATAACTCCTTTCTTAATTTGTTGACCCAGAGGCATGAGGAATCTAAAGTGACTAGGCAGCAGCCTTAACTTCCAGTTTGATGGAATCATTGTTATATCTCCTGGTAGGAGCATTCTTCTCTCCAGAACTAAGACCTCTAGGCTAACAGAACATGATGTTGTAGGAACAAAAAGCAAAATTTTTTTGTGGATTACTAGGGGTAATAAAGGTACTCTTATTTTCACCCTTTGATTCCTGGCTAGGGGAGAAACAGTACCATATATTGCGTGCTGGTTCAGGGCATATACAGCCTTCTGGAAAACCTTGCTCCAGCTATGTAAAGTATTTTCACCTAGCTGATGCTGTAACTGCAACTTCAAAAGGCCATTCATTCCACCATTCTATCAAGCCAGCTGCTTCAGGATGATGAGGAACACAATAAGATCAGTGAATTCCATGAGAATAATCCATCACACTTCTCTGGCTGTGAAATGAGTTCCTTGGTCAGGAGCAATGCTGTGAGTAATACCATAATGGTGGCTAAGGCATTCCTTAAGTCCACAGGTAGGAGTTTTGGCATAAGCATTGTGTGCAGGGAAGGCAAATCCATATTCAAAGTGTCTATACTACTAAGGACAAAATTTTGCCCCTTCCATGATGGAAGCAGTCCAGTGTAATCAACCTGCCTCCAGGTTAGTTTGCTGATCACCCTGGAAAATGGTGCCATATGTGTGGCTCCATGTTGGTCTCTGCTACTGGCAGATTAGGCACACAGTGATGCCTGTAGCAAGGTCAACTTTGGTGAGTGGGAGTCCATGTTGCTAACTCCATGCATAGCCTCCATCCCTGTCACCATGGCCACTTTGTTCATGAGCCCATTGCGTGATGATGCGGTGGTTGAGAAAGAGTCTCACTGGTGTCCACAGAATGGGTTATTCTGTCTAATTGATTATTTGAATCCTTCTCTGCTGAGGTCACCCTTTGTTGAGGATTCACATGGGACACAAATATCTTCATATCTTTTGCCTCCTTAGAGAAGTCTATATACCTCTTCTCCAAATTTCTTTGTCACCAACTTTCCAATCATGTTCCTTCCAAGTCCCTGACCATCCAGCCAAACCATTGGCTACAGCCCATGAATCAATGTATAATCATATATCTGGCTATTCTGTGTCCCCTTCCAAGCAAAGTGCACAAACAGGCACACTGCCCAAAGTTCTGCCCATCAGGAAGAATTCCCTTCACTACTGTCCTTCAAGGATGTCCCAGAAAGAAACTGTAGTGCTACAGCTGTCCACCTTTGGGTTATGCCTGCATATCATGTGGTACCATTTGTAAACCAGGCCTGATCTTCTCTTCTTCTGTGAACTGATCATTAGGTACTCCTCACAAAGTCCTAGGTGCAGGCTGAAAGAGAGAAGGCAGTAAAACAGGAGTAGGAATTATGGGCATTTGAAACACTTCTTCATATAACTTACTTGTTCCTTCAGGACCTGTTTGGGCCTGATCACATATATACCATTTCCATTTGATAATAGAGTGCTGCTGTGCACACACAACTTTATGGCTTAGTGGGTCAGCTAACACCTAGTTTATGATAGGCAGCTCAGGTCACATGGTAGCTTGATGGCTCATAGTCAAGCATTCTGTTTCTCCTAAGGCCCAGTAGCAGGCCAAGAGCTATCTCAAAAGGAGAGTAGTTATTTGTGGATGATGGCAGGGCCTTGGTCCAAAATCCTAAAGGTTTCCATTGTGATTCATCCATGAGGGCCCGCCAAAGGCTCCAGATGGATCCCTGTCTGCCACTGACACCTCCAGCACTATTGGATCTGTTGGGTCATATGACCGAAGTGGCAGAATAGCTCGCATAGCAGCCTGGACTTATTGCAGTCTTTTCCTGTCCTGGGCTCCACTCAAAACTAGCAGGTTTGTTTTTTTTTTTAATCACTATATAAATGGGATAGAGTAACACACCCAAAGAAGGAATTTGTTGCCTCCAGAATCCAAATACGTCTAGTAGGCTTTGTGCCTCTTTCTTGGTTATAGGAGGGGCCAGATACAACAACTTACTTTCACTCAGGAGGGATATCTCAGCAGGCCCAACACCACTGGACCCCTAGACACTTCACTGAGCTAGAAATGAATTTTACTTTGATTTATTTTCTGTCCTCTAACATGCAGATCTCTTACTGATAAGTCCACAGTGGTTGGTGGAAGGGAGCAAAAAAGGTATTGCATTGTGTTGAGACAGGAACTCAGCTAAGAGTCCACTGGAGTAGTCCTTTTGAAAATACATATAAAAGTGCATTTCTCATGGTGCAAAGTGCAAAGCATGGAATAGACATTGTATAAACACTGGGAAAACAGGAATAAGAAGTGGCAGGAGATTGGAATTCTCAGCCTGCTGGGCACAGGGAGGCAGTGCCCACTTTCTGCCCTTCTGTCTTATCCCGCTTCCCTCTCTGAATGTGGCATGCCCATACTGGGTTTGGCTCAAAAACCACAAGGATGATGGCTAGCTTGAAGTATTTCCTATTAAAGGCATGGATCGTATGTACATATTCTTAAATAGTGATCAAATATGGGTACAAAAGGATTAGGCCTGGGAAACAATGTCCAGCTTCTCTGCGTGTTCTGGGCACTAAGGAAAGCTGTGCTGAGAATTGCTCCTTTGATTCAGCTCCAGGTGGCTTCCCTGCTGCTTCTGGCATTCTTGGCCAAATAAAGCAGACATGGAAGATTACAGCTTAAGTGGATGTGTTTTCTCCCTGCTAGTTTAAGTCTACCTGAATGTTTCATCAGTTTTTGCCCTTGGTGGATTTATAGTGTAATGCGAACATAGACATATAAACAAACAAGTTACAATATGACAAGTGGTCTTTTGTCCTACAACTAGCAAGATGGTGTTAGGTCCCAAATAATTTACTCTGCTGAGTTTGGCTGTATCCTAATTTAAGGGTCCCAACAGTTGAGTTTCTTTCTGTTTCTTTCTAAAACATTGCACTGAGCCCTAACTAAGTCAGAGTGCCCTGGTTGCTCAGGAAAAAATATTCTCCCAGGGCAGGGGCTTGAGCCAAGGGAAATGTAATTCTCCTGGCCA